GCCCATCCTGCCCTCGGGTTGGGCTGTCCATTGTTGAGGCAGGCATCATCGGCATAGATCAATATCTGTTCTGGATCGTCACGACGGATGAATCGAGCAACTCGCCGGATAGCTTGGTGGCCAATTCCGGCTGGGAACAATGCTCCAGGAGCAGAAGTCGCCGAAGGCGGGCTGAATTTGGTGGCAAAGAGACGTCCCGTGCCTCGTCTGATGGCAGGGCCGCCGCAAAGTTCCGACGATGCGGCTATATGGACGATGTGGAAGCCAGTGTGGGTTCCAGTATTTCGGTGGTAGGCTGGGCTGTTTGCACGCGTTGAGGGCGGGGGCGCCCATCGCGCATCAATGTCAGCCTGCATTTCATCGCTCAAATGCTCACATATTTCGCTCGTCTCGCACCCCAGCCGTTCGTCTGGGTCTTCCGACAGCTCCTCCATGAAGCTGAAGTCGACGCAACAGTATGGGCATACTGCCAAACCGTGGCGGCGACAGACCAAGCGGCCATCGGGAAGCTCAACGGGTCCAATGCTGTCATCACTATCAGAGTCATATTTAACGTGCAGATGTGAAGACATGATGGAGTTGAGCAGCTGTCCGTGGTGAGTTGAAGGGAGAGGCACAGGCCTATTTGAAGGAGCCGGGGGCGCAAGGCATATGCATTTATGCCTCTTTCTAGTGTCGAATCGGAAGCATCGTGTCGTGCACCCAAGGTACAGCTGGTAGACACCGCAATACATTTGCGTCTGCAAGGCAACTGCACAGTCGTGCTGGGTTTGTGACGGAGTTTCTTGCCCCTCCTATGTTTCCCATCATTCACTTGTGGACTGATATGTGACAGCAATCTGACACAGGTGAGGTGAAGAAAAAGCGGGCTGTGACAGAATCTGATACAGGTTGACGTGAAGAAAAAGCGGGCCTGATTGTGGGCGCGTCTTCAGATTGGCGTGACCGACTCGCGTTGTTACGGCTGTTCAATGCCGACCTTGCGATCGCTCAGCTTGTCAACTTCCACCAGCCTTGCCGAACTCGTCCTGTTTTTTTTTTTTTTTTTTTTTTTTTTTTTTTTTGCAGCCTTGCCGAACTCGTCCCTTTTTTTTTCGTCGCTAATATAAGTCGCTTCTACGCTTCCTCCAACCTGCTTTCATTGCCCCATTCTCGTCGCCACATCTCGTCAAGTCTGCCTCTAGGAGCTTGACAACATGGTAGAAACACGAAAGGTACGTTATCGCAGTGTTATCTGTTGCATTGGACGCATACTGTTTAACTAAACGATAAGCAGCGTAAAGCTTCGCCCGCCGACGACCGCCAGAATGACCCGACAAAAAGGTCTCGCACGACTGTCAAGCCCAAGAAAGTCGTCAATAATCTTGGCACATGCTCGATGGACAAGAAGCAGATTGGGGACAGCGTCAAAGCAGCACTGGCTTTGAGTAAGTACGCGCTCAATCGGACAGTCATAAGTGCAAGTCGCCACCTTCTTTCCATCTGACCCAAGCTAAGATCGGATAGCTCCAAATGGACACGGCCTTCTTCCGCGCCTTCTTCGTCAACAACAAGGGTCTCACCAACCCTCTGCAAATCACGCCTACAGAGTTCGACGACGACACCCCCGTCGTCGTCGTGGACATCGGTCACCACCAAGCGGGCGAGTTGCTTGGTGTTAGCAAGGTCAAAGGAGGAAATAGGTTCGCTACGACGTACCTGGCCG